AAGGCCAGGCCGTTGGCCTGCAGGGACAGCGCCCGGAGCTCGCCCAGGCCCAGAAAGGCGCCCGGCGGGAGCGCGCTCAGACGCGGGCTCTGAGTCACCCCCAAGGTCCGCAGGCTGCTCAGGTTGCGGAAGGCGGCGGAGGGCAGGGTGCTCAGCTGGGTGCCGTTCAGCCACAGCTCCTGCAGGCCCGCCATCGCCCCGAAGAGCACCTCCGGGAGCTCCTCCAGCGGGTTCTCGAACAGCGTCAGCAGCGTCACATTGTGCGAATGGAGAAAGAGCGCAGAGGGCAGGAACTCGAGGCGGTTGCTCGAAAGAGTCAGAGCGCTCAGGCTCCGGAGGCGGTCGAAGGCCCCGGGCGCGATGGAGCGGATGTGGTTTCGGTGCAGCTGCAGCTCCGCCAGGGCGCCCAGGCTGCGCAACAGCCCCGCGTCCAGGGACACCAGCCGGTTCGCGTGCAGCAGGAGCTTCTCAAGCTTCGCCTGTGCCCCAAGCAATCCTCTGGGCAGGTGGGTCAAGTTGTTTCCCGACAAATCCAACAATTTCAGGTTCCCCAGGTTTGAGAAGAGATTAGCGGGAAGGAAATCGAGTTCATTCTGGTTCAGAAAGAGCTCCCGCAAGTTGCCCAGTTTCTGAAACATGTTTTGGTCAATGCCCCGCAGTGCATTGTGGTCCAAAAACAGCTGTTCCAGGAGCACCATCTCATCCAGCAGCGCCCCCGGAAGGTGAGGGATTTTGTTGCGCGACAGCCTGAGGGTTTTCAGTTTGATCAGGTCGTTGAAGGTGCCGGGGGCAATGGCGGAAATGTGGCTGTCCGAGAGTATCAGGCGCTGCAGGACCGTCATGCCAACGAAGCTGTGGTTCTGCAAGGCGCCGCGGCCCATGCGGAAGAGCAGGATGTGCGTGAGGTTGGAGGGCAGGCCCAGCGCCGAGATGCGCGCCACGTGGCCCCCAGAGCATTGCGCGGCGTCCCGGAAGACACACTTGCAGGCGGTGGGGCAGGGGAAGGGCTGGGCGCGCAGGAGCCCGAGTACCACGCACAGTAGGGTCCTCCTCAGCATGTCTGCAAAGGCAACAGTGGGAGGTCTGTGGTCAACACCTGAGGGCATCTACGCCTATGCTGAATTTTGTGACCCTGCACACTTTGCAGGGGCACAACCCTTTCGCCAGAATTTTCCCTCCCTTTTTTTTTTAGGAGTGCAGATTTCCCCGGGTGGTGAAAAGACGTTCATTTTATACTGTGAGTCTCATTATTTTATTTTATTAGTTTTTCAATCCTCAGCTTCAAGCACTGAAATTAAAGCGTTTTCAAGGTACGGAAAAACCAATACTTGAAATCTTTACATAGAACTAAAATAAACATTCTCAATTTAAGCCCACAGACATCACAAAGCAATGTCCATTGTGAAAACAGCTCTGCTCTTGGCTTTATTTTTTTTTTAGTCTTACTCCATCCCTAGGCTGAAGTGCAGTGGCACTATCACAAATCACTGCGGCCTCGACCTGGACTCAGGCGATCCTTCCACCTCAGCTTGCTCGGTTGCTGGGACTACAGGCCCGGTTAATTTTTAAAATTTTTTTTGTAGAAGCCGGGCTCGGTGGCTCAGCCTGTAATCCCCCGCCTTTGGGAGGCTGAGGTGAGTG